TATATATATATATATCATGTACATTTTACACATCAAACCACATGAATTCTTACATTGTGTCTTTTCACTATATCCTTTAACTTGACTGCAAGTCTGGGATCAATTTCGGGTGTTATAAACACTTGTGGAAGTGTCAACAATTTGGCCTGTAAAGTAAACATAGTTAAATTTAGTAATTTGTGATTTTCTCCTCACCAGCAGTCTAATGTACTTTTCTCTTTTCAATAAATGAAAACATTGATTACAGAATGATAAAAATTCTTATTTGAAAATGAATGAAAAGGTTAAAAGGAACACACACAAAAGGAAACAATTAAAAGTTACTGAAGCTCTACCTCTTTCAGGGCTTTTTCAATGTTCAAGAAAAGTTCAACATTCCTATCCATACGTGAGGGAGACTGAAAATCAAATCTTCTCCTGAAAAAATAACAGAATGCACAACACTTTATGATGAAATATGAAAATGAATTTACAACAGTGTAACACATGATGGATAAAAAAAGAATGTTTACTTATTAAATTATGATCATTTCCATCTAAATTTGATTAAATCTGAGAATTTTTCGTCTACTTTGATTTTCAATTAATTTGCTTACAAGTAGTTTCAGGTTAAACTGAAATCAAAATAAATTTTGAACCAGTCAAATTTTACAACAAACATGTAGTAAAATCTACTGTTAAAAAGTTCATCATTTTTGTTGACTATTCAAGTTTGTGGGCCACACAATAATAATAATATAAATGTGATTTTTTAAAATTTTATATCAAATTTCTACTACCCATGTTAAGCAATATAACACCAAACATGTTCAATAAATGTACATTACAAAAAAATCCTGATGAAAAATAACTTTACCATCCTTGCTCCATCTTGGTCTTGAACATATTTGCTAGAATAACACAAAGACTTCCACCAGAAGAATAGTCCATGAACATCTTCATCTGTGACATCAACAAAAAAAAATTGAAAAAAAATGTCATTTTCTTTTGTGACCAACCTTGGGAAGTTAGAGCAGAAAAGAAAATGAATACACATTCACATACATTATAATTTGTGTGGAGTATGTGGAGTTATTAGACACAGTGATATTAAATGTAAAAAGCTTGCATGATTGGTACTTTGAATTCGTAGCCATGGCAAACAAAGCATTTTACATGTAAATTTGTACTTCAAAGAAAAAAAAAAACATTGAAAATTAGCCAGTTCAAAGGAGCTACACACACAAATGAGCATACTGACATGCATTTAAAATATGCAATTCATGACGATCAGCTTACCGGCAGCTTGGTCAAGAGGGCCTGCTTACTGACATCTTTTCCAAAATTATCCTGTAAAAAATGGAAAAGAAAACAGACAAAAAATAAAACAAAAAAAACAACAACAACAAAAAACATACATATAACAGTTGAGCCTTTTGGACTGTTCTGGTTTGGGGGTTAATGGCATACTGAGAGCAGCACCTTTTGCTGCATGCACTAGTAGAACATATCGACCCCAAGCACCAATGACAAAGGCAAAAAACATGTTGGAGTTGACTGTCTTAACCTCTACTTGAATACCGAAATAAAAACACTGGGAAAATTCAAAATGTTTCTGTAAACCTTTGTTTAGATTTACAGAAACTTTAACATTTTCCATAAACAATTTCTCCTGTGTTTGCAACAGTCTATGAACACACGTACACCACATTTGTTTTCTTACATGGGTAAACACCGTGTGTACATGTACATTTTATGTATAAATAAAGATGTTTTCTTTTGATTTTGATTAACACAACAGTTCTAAGAATTTTTCCACCACGGTGTCAACTTAAAAGTTGGCAATAGACTTATTGGAGAAAAAGTGCAACAGTTTCTATATTCAAACTACACCACATTCGTTCCCTCATATGTGTACACACTGCTGTCTTTTGATTGCATTTGAAATGTCACTTGAAATTTGCCCGGCCCTGTGATCAAAAGATCATTACCAACTTAAAGCTGGCAATTAACATATAACCTCTTAAGTGTTTCTCTTGTCCGAGGAAAAAGTGCAACAGTTCGTTTCCAAACTATCAATTTTAACACCGTTATCAGCAAATCAAAGCTAAGCTTATTTGTATCATAATGCACACAAGAAAGCTGAATGCTTCATAGATGAACTTACCTCTTGGAATTGTAACAACTGCGCAGTTAGTGTAGCCAAAATTTTATTTGTTGGTGGTTCCACCTGTACATACTACAAGAAATAGAAACACGGTAAACGATTACGTGACATGGACAGATTACAACACAATCAACCACCTAAGCCATGTGTTCAGTATAAAACTGAGAGGTGAAACGCGGTGAAACGGCAAGATAAAGCAATCGAATTTTCTTATGGAAATCTCAAGCCATGTAGCAATTACCTTTTTGCAGTTTTTTAGTAAGTACTGCTTGACCGGCTCGAAGAGAGCGATAGTTTCAGTCGATTCGTAGTATTTCCAGTCCGGAGCGCCATCCTTTTTCCGTGCCGCCATGTTGGTTTTTTCTGTCTGAAAGAGTCGCTCAAGCTGCCACGTTGTTTATGCAAAACATAGTGTCCATGTAAGGTACATCTGGAAAATTTTGTCTTTTCGTGCATTGCCTGCTTTTTGGGTTTAGAAGTTCGCTGTAATGGATGTTTCGCTCGCTTTTTTCATCGCGTGCGTTGAAATAAAGAGGGGGACTGTGAACAGTCTAGTTTATTGAAGACTTTGTTGAAGGTTTGCTTGAATTTTTTTTAAACTCATAGCCATGAAATCTTGTTTTGTGTTGCATACATGACGTCAAAGAATAAACTTCTGAGAGAAATGGACTGGAACTAGACCAAAACTAACACGTGACCTAATGATCGAAAAAGAGCGCGCAAAGATCCATAAACAAGTGCAAGCCACAGAAGTAATCGATCTGCTTGTCTTGCTGGCTTTACAGTGGAAGTAAATCGCATGTACCTTTCGCCATGAATCTTCGAGAGCAGTTTCTGAAATCCGTTGGAGAGGATTCCCCCCAAGCTTTTCTTCGTTTCATAGAGCAGCACGTGAGTTTAGCGAACTGGTTTGATTTGTTGATCACATCGCGATAATCGATCGTCCGTGTTCATAAACCAAATTTATTTTTGTTTCTACACATGTGCTATGTAGCTGAATTCATAAACAACCTCTTGTCAATTAAACTTAGATCTTATAAGAGAAATGAATGCTACAAAATGCAGATAGATCCGAGCCAAACTAAACGGCCTGTTGACAATAGCATTTTGCATGAGCTTACTTGGATCAAACTGCGCTGAACATTGCAAGNTTAGTAAGTACTGCTTGACCGGCTCGAAGAGAGCGATAGTTTCAGTCGATTCGTAGTATTTCCAGTCCGGGGCGCCATCCTTTTTCCGTGCCGCCATGTTGGTTTTTTCTGTCTGAAAGAGTCGCTTAAGGTACAATGTTGTTTATGCATAACATAGTGTCCCTGTCAGGTACATCTCAAACATTTTGTTTTTTCTTGCCTTGCCTGCTTTTTGAGTTTAGACGTTCGCTGTAATGGATGTTTCGCTCGCTTTTTTCATCGCGTGCGTTGAAATAAAGAGACAGATTGTGAACAGTCTAGTTTATTGAAGACTTTATTGAAAGTTTGCTTGAATTTTTTTAAACTCATAGCCATGAAATCTTGTTTCGTGTTGCATACATGACGTAAAAGAATAAACTTCTGATAGAAATGGACTGGAACTAGACCAAAACTAACACGTGACCTAATGATCGAAAAAGAGCGCGCAAAGATTCCATAAACAAGAGCAAGCCACAGAAGTAATCGATCTGCTTGTTTTGCTGGCTTTACAGTGGAAGTAAATCGCACGTACCTTTCGCCATGAATCTTCGAGAGCAGTTTCTGAAATCCGTTGGAGAGGATTCCCCCCAAGCTTTTCTTCGTTTCATAGAGCAGCACGTGAGTTTAGCGAACTGGTTTGATTTGTTGATCACATCGCGATAATCGATCGTCCGTGTTCATAAACCAAATTTATTTTTGTTTCTACACATGTGCTATGTAGCTGAATTCATAAACAACCTCTTGTCAATTAAACTTAGATCTTATAAGAGAAATGAATGCTACAAAATGCAGATAGATCCGAGCCAAACTAAACGGCCTGTTGACAATAGCATTTTGCATGAGCTTACTTGGATCAAACTGCGCTGAACATTGCAAGACTTATCTGATATTTCAAACTGCTCAAATTGTTATTCCTTGAAATCTCGAGACGTCGCGATTTTTCTCTCGCTTGCTTCACGTTCGTGGAGAACTAATTAACATATCTTATGTCTAGAACATGTGAAAAGAGCAGTTGTGCATGTGGAGTTATACGTACAGTATGGAGTATTTGACAGATTTAATTAGATGATGATTTGATAATATGTGATGTTAGCATACCCAAATTCATAAGGCCGATCAGAAGGCCTGTCTGCTGTCCTGTGATATCAAGTCACTGACCTGATATGGTTACGATAGCGTGGTCACTTCGCCAAATTTGGATGTGGTAAATATATAAAAATTGCACCTTTTTTGTTATGCCTGGGGGGCTTCTCGGGCTTGTTTTGTCTTGCCATGAGTATTTTGGCTTGACTACGCCATGCTAAAGTACGAACCATAGTTTGACCAAACTCATGTGATATGTGGCTGAAGTGTACCTAAAAAGTACATAGATAAGATTACAGGCAGTGTACATGTATGACATCATTTGCAGACTGCAGACTGCAGACTGCAGACTACATTAAGGCCAAAATAGCGCTCAGGTTAGCATGAATATCATTACTCAGGTTAGCCTGTTTACGGTTACCTCTCAGTAATGGAAATGGGAATACAATGTTAAGTAAAAAGTCTGCAGTCTGTAAATGTCATATCCCAGATTACAGGTGACTTACTCAAAACTGGGTCACTTGGTGCAGAGTTAACCAATCAGATCACTTCTTGAGAACAAAGGATAGCAACATGTATATTTTTCACGAAGGAACTAATGATGTTGAAGAATACAAACTGAAAGCTCTAAAACAAAATTTGCAACCCAGCAAAGATACTACATGCAGAACCTGCAGATCTCTCAGGAAACATGTAGAAATAGGTAATATTGATTGTTCACTTTTATTACATTAATAGAACTCAAAGAATGAATCATTTGATGTTGAAGAGCTGTTGCAGACCCTGTCCAAACAGGATCATGAAAGGCTATGGTGTGGCCTTCGTGATATGACTCACAGACTGTTATCAACAAGTCCAGTGGGATCTGGGCAAAATATGGACTATGAAGATGAAGAGCCATCGGTAACTAAACAACAGTTCTTTTACTCTAAGAGATAACACATATTTACATGTACGTTGCAACCCTGTTGATCTACATTACATGTACATGTTATTATCTGCAAACTGGCCCGGCTCTTGTTTGGGGCAAATAGAAAGTAGCCAGATAAGTGTGGTGGCAGTACATTTTATGATGCTAAGTATTATAAAATGTGATCAGATGGCATTTTCAGGCTCATTGAGGTCTTATTATTATTGTAGACAAAATATTGCATACTGCTAAGTTTCTTGATGCAATTTTTGTTGCAGCAATCGTCTGTCCTACTCTCCTATCTTGAAGGTGTGATTGTAGTGGCACTCTGTGCTTTAGCTACACCAGAAAAGTCTCCCCACACACCATCAGCTTTGCTGGAAACTGCTGTCATTTTACATGGTTTGTGAAATTTAATCTTTATTCTTGTGAAATCATTGCTTTTACTGATATTGTGTTCATATTAGGTACATTTGACCACATTTCTGAACAGCGAGATGAGAGTGCAGCAGTATAATTTTAACAAACTTTACAGGTGTTTGGAAGAGTATTAAGACACTGTCTCAAGTATTCTCCAAATCTTCTCAATTGAAACTAAAGCTAAGGAGAAAACAGAGAAATAAAATTGTATTAACTAAAGACAGGATATCCAAACACAAGTCACAGTTATCTTTTCCTTTGTATAAACTTTTGGAGTTATTAATAAGTTTTTAAAGAGAATTTTCTCTCTTGAATAATTGGTCCTCAAAAGCCCCAATGGGGACTGGCCAATTAAGTATACACATCTTGATTAGGTTGAATTCCCAACGTCTCTGATTTCCATAAATATTGCACAGTTCAAATAATGGAATCATTTGAACATTCCAAGGGGTCTCTATGGTTGTCTTTGTGGTGCAGATTCTGGTCTTGAGGGGATGGCCATGGGAGGGAGTAGTAAATTTCTACCATAAGCTAATTGATATAGTTGCATCAGGAAAAGTGAGAAAACATACTTTTAATGCATAAGAGTCTGATTCGGCTGTAAAATGTGTGTTCATGTACATTTACATATAATTATTATAGGTTTGCTGATGTCCCTGCCAGAAGGAGCAGAAACCTTGCAGAACAATATTGCACAGCTATGTGAACTGTGGTATGTGAAAATTATGAATAAATGCCATTGATACAAGTTTGCAGGCCAAAAAAAAAAATTGAACTCCAGCTTGCCCTTGGACAGGTAGTTGTCAAATTTTGCTTGCCCTGGGCAAGGGTTAGTTTGCTCTTTATTGATTTACTTGGCTGATGGCATGCCTGAGCCCTCTCCCATTGGGCAAATGAATGTGAAAAGTCACTTGCCCAGCAAGAAAATTCACTTGTCCCAGACAACCAGACGGCACTTTTTTCGAACCCTGGTTAGCCACCATATATTATAGACTTTCACAGGGTTGTCAATAGTTGCTGCCTGTTGTTGAAAATCACCATCTACTACAGGATTTTAGTCAATACTTCTGCCGGGCTATTCATCTTAAGTTATTCTTCATGAAAAAGATGGCAAAATCAGCCTCCTGCTCTAACCATAAAGCCATCACCTTCAAAATTCTGTGATGTCCCTGACTATACACTGTAGAATTGTATATGCTCAGCTACATACTTTAATTAATTTTCATTTTATTCATCTACCATATATGTAGTTACATACAGTCATTTAGTTACATTCCTTGAAATGAGAACCTTGATCTCATGCAAAACAGATCTTTTAGTAAAGTCCAAACCCCCAGATGTACATGTTCACCAATTGTATGTGTACTTGGACACGACTAGTACACTTGTGTTTGTGACCTTTCCATATTCCACTTTGCAGGTTTCTTAATGAACTGGAAGGAAAAGAGGAGTTGGTCACGCAGACCTTTCCTTATCTCATAATCCGAAGCCTCAGTCGGGGAATTGTAAGCAACTTTATTACATGTAGAAAAGGGGTTGTGTCCAGAAGTATCAGAAGCTTTTCTAGAGTGATTTTTTGCACAGGGCAACTTATACATTGTACTTGTTATTGTTTGTCAACTAGTCTAGTATTGGCAAAGACTTCATGTACAGTTATAGATCTCTGTTGTTGTTGTTGTTGTTTGATATTTCAAACACCAAGAACAAAGTGGAGGATAATACATACATTGTACATGCAAGTATTAACTGCTTGTAGTGTTGAAGTCTTGGTCAGCAACATGGACAACAGTCTTTCTCAGAACTACACTTAACTCCTGTCACTCAAAAGAGCAGAATTTACATGTATCGTATAGATTTATTGATGCATGCAAGCATTGAGCAATCCAAATTTTTTTGTAGATCAAAAAATAGGACAAGGATGTCCTTTCCTATAATTCAAAAATCTGATGATAATAGCTGATAAAAAGTGCTGCCTGCTAAATGTATGTACATGTACACGCTATAGGTTTCTGATGTAAAGCGTGTGTGGAGTTTACGCCAGTCACTTCTACTGATGGACTTTGAAGATAATTCTTCAGAATCTTTGAAGCAACTTCTTCACCAGTGTATGATCCATCCCGTGTACCTGAAGTTAGAAGAGGTGAGAAACAGCATTAACAACCTACTGCAAAGAAACAATCCTGGGAAAGTTGATGAAAATATTTTTTCCATTTTCTGTCAACTTTTGTAGCCTCTTAATCATTTAGGCACGCCCATAAATAAAATGGCAAAAAGAGGAGGCTACCCCACAAAAACTTCTAACTTCTGTGGCCCAACGTAGAACTGACCAAGCATTGAAAGCCTCAGTTTTACTTAGATCCACACATCATTACCCAAAAAGGCTACTGTTAAAAAAGACAAACATCTTTGGGCTAAGCTTAAGTAGATCTTAACCTCTGGAAAACCTCCTCAACCTCCTTCAAAGACTACATTTTAGGTGTGTACGATAATGTCACCCAGACAAAAGGGAACCTTGTCCGCAGTGTTTTTGTTCCTCCAGACCATCAATCAGATCTATAGAGAGTGACCAACCCTGGAAAGGTCTGAAAATCTCTGACGTCAAGTTGAGCTGCAATCAAGTCACTGTTGGTTTACTTCTGGATCATTTTTCACTGTCATTTATACGACACCATCATACATCCTGTAATGGAACTCTTGAGAGTCCCTCCCTTTTTGTCAAGTTTGAGAAGTAAGGAACAAAAACTCAAGGAATAAAATTGGAAAAAAAAGTAATGTGTGCCAAGATATCATACAGGCACTCTCTACCATTCTCTAAAATCTAGCAAGGGCATTACAAAGGCAGAAGGGTACTGCATTTAACTGTTAAAGGCCAGAACCTGTTGAGAATGTGGTCATCTTCATCCCTTCTTCTGCATTTCTATCCTGCTAATAACCACTAGCTAAATCTTATTTACACCTGTAATATATTTAAATAATCCTCAACTCAGTGATAATCTACTGAATTCATGTTCATACAGTACCGCTCAAAAGTAAGTTACCACCGTCTCGCGAGACGCGTNTTTCCTGAAAGTCAAGCCCTGCATAATAATTATTATTAACATGGATTATTGCGCCTTTCAATAACATGCAAGTTAACCTAACCAACGATTACATATTTGGCTGCCATCAATCCTTGAAGAACCTTGGAGAAAAGTAAACAAAATGGGTTGAAATGTTCCAATCACAACCCACAGACATGAATTTTTGAACCCATTAAAGAAAAGTGCTGTTTTTTGAGAGGTCCGCTGACATGATTGATGGCAGCAAAACATGAAACCATTGATTGATCAGAATTCATGTGCTACTGAAAGTTGCAGTAAAATGCATGCTCCTTTACTATTGGTAAGGCTTTGCCTTACATGTAAATCAAATATTTCTCACAACAGGGGCGACGTTTTCTGAGTTACTCGTTTGGATTAAATCCTGAACTATCAAAGGAGTTCCACAAGACAATTAAAAACCAGATTCCTTACTGTGCATTGTAAGTTACATACTTTGTACCATAATGATATAATTGTTCAAGTTAATATTATCATGTTTTTGTATACTTTTTCACCGGGAACACAAGGTTTTTTATTATTTGTGGTGGGGGCAGGGCTCGATTAAAACTTGAATTCCAGCTTACCCTTGGGAGAAGTAGCTCTCAAATTTTGCTTGCCCTGGGCAATTCTTGGTTTGCTGTTTTATTGATTTAGTTGGCAGACGTCTTGCCTAATCCCTTCCCCATCGCCCAGGAGGAAAATGTACTAGTCCCAGACCTGACAGCACTTTTTGAACCCTGGAGGGACTAATGATGATGAGTAACCCCACATGTCGTTTATCATACTCGCAGTCCACTTACAGGGGTCTCAATACTGTACATGTAGGTTTCTGAGCAGATCAGTGACAAAAACTGCAAATTCAGCAGCTAATGCAAGTGTTTACTAGAATGCCATTGGTTTTAAGGAAGTAGGGATAAAAATCTTGATGTATATGGAAAGAACAAACTTACGCTGTGGAATCTTACACACAGGAATGTCCTCAGTCTCTATGGCGAAGTCTATTTCCGTGCCTGGAGAGTTGCTTCTGGAGCTTACTTAAAGGTTCTTCTGATGATTAACTTTTCACTTTGGTAGTTGCAATAAATCCAACCTAAATCTATATGGTACACTACAGTATAATTCTATTTTCCTAGTATGACATATCACTGTTTTACAGTTAATGTTCTTTGCTATCCTCAAACATCAAGAACATGCATTTTTGTTATGTAACCATTCAAGTCAACTTTTACTTGTAGCATATGCAGAGAAGTGAGAATTATGAAAATGATAACTCATTACGTACGCAATGTTAAGCTGGTTTATATGTACTTCATTGCAAACGTTAATAATAATTCACCTCAGTCACATTTTTTCTCAGGTTTTGGAGGAAAACTGTCTGCAAGATCTGATGTTTTCTGCTGTTCATGCCCAACGCACTGGAACTCAGTCCATGGCATCAAGACTCCGGAAGGCAAGCATGCTGTAGATTAGAGTTCACATTTAAGATTAAAACACTTCAATAATCACAGTTATTCAGGTCTTGGGACTAAAGTTTTTAACTGCCTGGCCTAGTAGTTAGTGGTACATTGTATTTCAGAATGTTATTTTTCACTTGTCAAGTATCTTGTTTCTAGTAAGGAATTCCATAATACTAGAAATTCTTCTACACACAGGTGGCCCAAGCTCATGATGTGAGGAGTTATCTCCTTGCATGGCGAGCTTGGGTTGCCTGTGTTCTACTACAGGTTTATTGTGGGCTTTATTGGCTTTTTTTCCTGCATGCAGGTGTTGGAATACTTTCATCAGCAAAAGAAGCAGAGAGGAGTTGATGAAGCTCTTCTAAGGTTGTATGAACCAATTATATGGAGAGCATTTAAGGTAGGGACTGGACATAGCCCATCAGTGTTTACATATTTAGTTTGTTAACTGGCCAGGCGTGGGCTACTCAACACTGAACAGTGTACATGTATTCTTTTGGAATCTCTTACCCTGGAGCAGGGCGTTAATATCATTTTAACATTTTCTCTCTGGAAGAGGGGAAAAATTATGCAGTAGTACTTCCCATAAGTAACCACCCAAAATGTGAATCCTTGGTGGTTGCTTACAGGAGGTGGCTGCTTACGAGGGCTTAGACCATATTGGGTCAAATTTTGCCTCATTAGCACAAAACAACTGCAGAGACTTACCCCATGTTTTAAATGTGCTATTCATGTGAAAAGTCAATTTTTAGAAAAAATCTGGTACTTTGCATTGCGAAATTGCTGTCTCTTGTACCATCCAGGAGTGTGATAATGTACAACATTTTATTATCCAATTTCTGCTTTATTATCCGTCAAATGGTCGCTTACAAGAGGCTAATAACAAATAAAGAAAATTCAAACTTTCAGCTCTAAAAGTGGTGACGGTCACTTATGAGAGGTGGTCGCTTACAAGAGGTTCCAAATAAAAAATTATAGTGATTGGATTTAGAAACTTTGGTATTTTGGAAAACTGGTCGCTGAGGAGAGGTGGTCACTTACGAGAGGTGGTTGCAACTGGAAGTTCGACTGTATTTTAGTTTTGACTCTGGAAAAAGGTCCTTTTTCCCAGAATCCATTACGACTCATGATCAAGGATAGATGTGAAACTGCACTCCCCCTGTGGCATAATTGTTAAGCCAAAGATGAATCTAAGTGGGCACTCTGTCATGTATCTGGTATTGCTACCCTGGAGGGCAATTTTTGTTGTGTACTTATAACACTGAGTATACGTAGTATTCAGTATCGTCTAAGACAGGGTTCATGTACTCATTAATTTTTAATTTGCAATTTTTGTGTGGAATAAAGCTGCAAATTTATCTTTTGTTTGTGTTGAACAGCTCCAGATTCTCAGGGAGTCAATGGTACACCCCAGAAGTAAATTTAAGGAAGTAGCCCTCTCCCCTGTCCCTGGTCACTGGTTTTGTAATGCTTACTACACATGTACCCATTTTTTTCTTTTGCTAGTGTTTGACCATAACAACCCAGTGCATTCATGCTAGTCATATTCAAAAACCAACTAGGAATACTGCGTTAAGTTATGCGTGTGATTCATGTTTTTTTTTTTCCCCTACATGTAGGTTGCAAATCCTATGGTCAGGGCTAACGCAGCAGCTTTGTTGACAGATACCTTCCCATTGCAAAATCCAGATGCAGCTAATGAAGAGATTGATGCACTCCTGCAGAAGCAGTTTGACATTGTGAAGGTACCGGTATATTAAAGTTGAACTGAGCATGGGTCTGTACATTGTAACCAATCAGGAATACATCAGACAGATGTGCAAATTAGCTTAGCCTAGTCTACACGTGTGGTGAGATAGTCATACCCTTGGATCTTGAGTCCAGATGGCTTGATAACTTCTAAGTTGTGAATAAATGACAAGTAGACACTATAATTTATATAAACATGATGCACAGAAATTACAGTGGAGCTAAACAAATGCGGTCATGCACAGTGTACTTCAGAAAAGTATAATAGAATAACAATTCCTAAGGGTCTACTGTTGGGTTGGTATGTACATGCATGTTTAACTACAATCATGTAATGTAATTAATTACATGGGCCTAGTTCCAGGTATACAATCATGTATGTTAACTAGTCTTGACCAATTAATTGTTTGTACTGTGGACAGGATCTGCTGGAAGACCCATGTCCCACAGTCAGGGCCACTGCCATTCATGGTGTCTGCCGCATCACAGGCATATTCTGGGAGCTTATTCCAGCACACATCATTAAGATGTTTCTCACGACACTGGTAAGAGAAACCCTCTGGGATCAGCATGATAAGGGTCTAAGTAATTAATTTGTCTATTTTGATTGAGTTGGCGAGAGACTTTAGCTGAATCAGTCTTTAGCTGAGGAGGACTATTGTTTCTTGGTGACTTGAAAGTCATCATTCTTTAGAGTCAAGAAATTATGTGCTTACATGTACACTGCACCAACACTGACACTTCACTCAGGTTGCCCAAACATCAGCTACATGGATCAACAACATACCACAGCAAGTTACAATCATGATCAATGGTGCCCTCAGCTGGGCTCCTGGGCTCAAACCATTTGTGGTGTTTACGACAGTGTTTTTAAAATTAATGGTACAATGTAGAAACCACTAGGCAAAGAATTGAGTACTTTGTGGAGGGAAATGAACAGTGCTAACCAACCTTGTTTTAATTTCTTTAAGTTTATCAGACATGTATTAGTAACCACATTTGATTTAAATAAGCTTGAATATTTCAATTGCTTTAATTATTTGCAATCAGCCAATGCTTGCAATTGGTTTGTCGTCCTTCATAGCCTCACATTGTACCTGCTGCATATGTGGTCTGGTTGACCAGTGCACATGAAGACATGCAATTTGAGGATATTGTCCTCAAAATGTACCTCCAAATTCTGTTATAAAAGAAATACAGCACAAGAAATAACAAAAATAAAGTATTGAAAATGAAGCTTAGAGTAAATTTTGACCTCAAACATTGTTAATTGTGTCTTCAGTCCTTTGCATGTATTTATTCAGGTAACTGATCTGGCTTTTGACACTTCCTCTTGTGCCGTCAGAGTGGCTGTGTTTCAGGTAATACATATTTTTGTTGAGACAGTTCCAAAATATTAAAAGCAAATATATAATACTGCTACTTATTAGTGCAGAAATGTAACTTTGACTTTGATGGTGCATCACAGTTTTCACCCAGTACTCAGTACAACCGTTTCTGGTTGGTTGGGTTTTTTGGAGTTCTATTGGGGAAAAACCATTTTCAGTTGGTTTAGTTGATCAACTTTTTCAACCGGCCTCAAACCAGGTTGAAACGGTTGAAAGAGCATTTGCGTGATTGTGTCACGTGATTGTAGCTCGTGTAAGGACTATTCCCAGGGCTTACCGCGTTTCAAGTGAAAACAGTTGGAAAAGTGTGCTATTGAGAAATGTCAACCATATCGACTCAAACCGCTCGCGGTTGAAACGGTTTATCCCAATAGAACACGACCTTAATGTTGTTTAAGATTTTTCTCCATAATACAGTGATACCATGCTGATAATCCTTCAAATATTTTCGCTTGTACGATTTGTCTAAACACATCATGAGACTGGATAGCCCCCAGCTAAACCTGGGGAATATTCGAGTGATATTCCCCGATTTCCAGGTTCCATTTTCAGCCTCCATTTAGCTCGATAATAAGATTGGATATTGTTTTGTCCTTGGACGTTACCTGTTCCTCAAAGATCACTGTTCTCCTTGAGCTACCGTACGCTCGCGTAAAACTGTTTGCTTCTCAGAACAGATAATGTCCATGGACAAATGTCTGAGCACATTTTCACGCCAAATGAAGGGTATAATTTGTAAATGTACACTTGTACATGTATACTGGGTGGAGATAAACTGCGAGAGTTAACTGGAGATCAGCTCCTGTTAGAGTTGTTGGTTATGCCATTTATTTCTTCATTTCCAGCCTACAGTAAGGACAAAAATAGTTAACTAAAAGGATGATTTTGTAAAAAATAAAAGACCTGCTGGAGCTTGGAAATATAGCGGGCTACATTACAATTCACCCAAACAGCCTGCAGGAGACAATAAGCAACAAAAGCAGTGGAAACATGTAAACGATACTTAACAATAGATAAACATGTTGATTCAATTGAGGCCTTGAGCTATTGTACTGTATTTTAATTCCAAGCTTTCGCCGTGCTACGGCATCATCAGGGAATGATGATGCCATAGAACGGTGAAAGCTTTGAATTAAAATACAGTACAGTAGCTCAAGGTCTCAACTGAATCTATATTTATGTATTCCGAAATGCTACTGAAAGACAACTTCAAACGTTTATTGATACTTAGCTGTACACGTGGCGATAGTTCTTCAATACCTTCATTCCCTCCCCCCCCNATCAGTCAGAGAAAGTGCGTGTGGCTTTTCTTGATGTCCTGCTTCTTGTGAAAGGACTCAAAGCAATTAAGGTTGGTATGCAGTGTCCGAGTGCTGTAGTTAATAGTTATTGTTATACCTCCCAACTCAAATACGTTTTCCGATTGGAGGAGAACGTGTCACGTGTCGTGGGCCAAAACTCTCTAACTCCCTAAGGCCAACTAAACTTTTTAACTCCCTAGGGAAACAACAACTTGAACTTTCGCCTTGCACGCGATCAGGTCGTGCTCCTTGAAGCCAGGGCAAATTGGTGTGCTAGTCGGCGTCGAGCAAATAATTTTTTTCGCAATTTTTTTTCTATTTTTGAGTTGAGATGTATAAAAACAAAGCACTTAATGACTGGCCGCGAAGGAAACAGTGAGTTTTGTTTCCCCAAAACCCTTAATGTTCATCGAGGCAAAGCCGAGGGGAACATTGAGAGTCTTGGGGAAACAAAACTCAGTGTTCCCTCGGGGCAAGTCATTAACTGAGAAGTCTAGTGCTATCTAGTTCATTATTGCATCTCGATGCCGGCAACTGTTATTATTATTCTAAGCTGGTTGTCATTTAATAGTAACGATTTTACATCCAGCTAAAAGGAATCAACATTGAAAAAATATATATATTTGTTAAATTGTTTGTAGGCTAAGTTTTGATCTTCAGCAAAGTCTGTTGCATTTCTTTCTTTTTTTTTTGCATTGCATTGCATCAAGAATCTATGTCTTATTCTTTGCTCTTATATTAAACGGTGCATTTCGTTTTATATGTTGCTACCGTAATAAGAAATTGCCGTAACTGTTAACAACTACCGATGCCTTTGCACTTGTCACAGTTCTGGAACATAGTTCCCTTGGAGCAGTTACTCGCTCAACTGGAGGTGGAAAAGTCTGCTTCAGTGATCAGGAGACTCGTTAAACTGCTCGTCAATTCATTTCATCCGATATCCAAGGGAGTTGACGTACAGGTGAGCTCAATGACCATAATTGTAGAATTGAGGGACAACTTGCCACATCTTAATCTAGATAGCGTGTTACATTATTATATGATTTACAAAATGCTTGACCTTGAATCATGAAACCAATGTCAGTTTTCGTGATTTCATTTCATCCTCTTCCTAATCAAAGCGGTGTAGGAAACAAACTACCTTGTTGGCGATGCAGCTCTTTAGAGATTCGTGTAGTGTTCCACATTGATATTAGTACTTCAACTTGCCAGCAAAACTTCAGAACTAAACAACAGTCAAGTGACCATGCCTGAAAGATGTAGTGAGTCGAATCAATTGAATCTGAGATGTCCCTGAAGCATGGAAAAACTATGGACCATATAAAAAGAGAGATGTGTGCTCATATGTATTGCTACATGTAAGCTACCCTGCAAGGCAAGGATTCACTTCTCTTTGCAGACAGAGAAGGGAATCTCTGTCTCGCAGGATATGCTCAGCTAAGCAGCCATCCTGGCTGGAATCTGAACAGCCAGACGATGCATACACCATAGCAGAGGTGAAGCATGTTAAACCATGTCACGTGCAAGTTAATATTAAATAACCCAATCAGATAGGACGGAACAAAGTGAAATACCAAAGAATACTTATGACGTACTGTATGTATTCTTAGTACAGTCAAACCCCTATTAAGCGGCCACCTATTAAACAGCCACCCCTATTGGGCGGCCAGTAATCAAAGTCCCGATGAGGGTTTTTCTATTGTTTTACCTCTATTAAACGGCCAGAGCGGCCACTATCCATTTCCCGAGGGTGGCGGTTTAATAGAGGTTGAACTGTATTTCACTTGGTTAATAATATTTACGGGTTATTTATTGTATAATCTCCATATTTCTTCATGTTTGGCGGAACATTTCTTTCGTCTACTGTATCCCTGTCATCCTGATCACTAATGTTATAAGATTTAACATGCAGGTGACCCGCTGTTCAGCGTTATGGCAATCCAACCCTGTGGCTGCCAGGAAATTCTATCAGTATGTACATCTGCACACAACAGTGTCTGCAACAGGTATCTACAGCATAAGTGATCCTTATCATACCGGTATTTCATTTGGCATCTGGGATGACAACAATAGATTTACTCGGAAATTCGCGAATCGCATTTGCCTTTTAGTTACTTTTCACGCATCACAGACTCATTTTTGCCCTTATCACTCGTCACGCAAACCCTTTGTAACCCTGGGTCACAATAGTCTCCTTCGCAGCCGTTATTAGGGTCGTCACGCAACGCTTCTCCCCCACGTGTTGCGTGACGACCCTAATAACGGCTACGAAGGAGACTATGGTCCCAAAGGAAGAATAAGGGCTGAGAATCCTGAGTTTAGCCTATTAATGGTGATTGTGTTCATCAGTAATATCTTGTAAGTTATTTATGGACGATGAAGTGGATAGGAAACAGAAGTTACGTTTTTACTAAGGTTAAAGCAATTTTTGTTTCAATCGGACTTAAGCTCGATGGCTCATACATGAAAGTACAGGCACGTCACTGTAGTATCTGTAAGATTTATTCAGTTAGGGCCGTGGGGCATATCGTCAATTTAGATTTTCTCTTGCCATTTAACTATGATTAAATCAGGTATTATTTTCAACGATTTTGTTGTGCTTGTACAACCAGTAAAGTAGCAAAGCCTCTTTCATTTTGGGTGCTNATGGAAGTGATGAGAGCGACATCTCTGTGGAAACTGATAGCCAAGGTTCGTCAACTCCATCTTGATCAAAACTCCATCATCTTCTGTTTATGTGGAGCTTTCAGAGCATACAAAGCTTAGCATTGACTTTTCATGTTCCATCCCCGACCAAGGCAACTGTGCGTTTCTACCAAGCTTTATAGTTTAACATTAGTTCCACCCAAACTCATACAGTATACTAATCTTGAGGAAAATAGTTTTAAGGAGTTACTTACCTGTTAGAAGAAGTGATCGAGTCCATGTCGTTTATGTTATCTTGAACTTTGTTCCAGAGTCAGTCCTGGGGCTGCCACTGAATAGCCTATTTACAGTCCCGTGCTTAGCAGTCGAGCCTTTGAACAGAAGCAAGGCTAGACTTGCCATTGTTGTGATACAATCTTTGTTAGTTTTCAAATGCAAATGATTTTGTTAACATGCTAACCAGTTTCTAATCTCTGTCATCACAAGATCAACCCAACTTCGCTTCCATGCAGACGCTAGGTTACATTTCATAGAACTTGTTTGCCCTGTTCCGAAAGCGAGTGTGTTCGACAGTGTCCTTCTGGATTGCGACTGCATCAGAAATGTCGCGAATTTCACAACATTTATCCACTACATGTAAATCAGAATTTGTTATTTAGACGTTACGTTACGTTTGCCATGAAAAACTCTGTAAACAAACACTTTTCAATCAGGGCCGGGTTGTTCGAAAGACGGTTAACGCTAACGCAGGAAAAGAAAAGTTACAAAACTGACGAGTTACAAAACTGAAATCAAAATTCATGCTAATCCTGGGTTAGCCTAATCGGGCGTTGAACAACCTGGCTGATGATAATTCAATTTCTTGGTCAGCGGAGGACAAGGAAAATGCAGAAGGCGTAGAAAGTGTGGACACAAGCAATGCCAGTGCCTTAGCGGGAATGGCCGAAACTATAGCCATTTGCTGGGGAGGCATCAAAGACCANTTTTGACGATAAAGGCTATTGCCTATGTCTCTTAAAATTCTCAGGTTGTCAGAAATAATGTCGTAGAGAAAATTAGGTGGCAAGCAATTTTTCCTGCTCGCTTTTCACTGCTCAATCGACGAAAGTAAGGACAGAATACACTGTGATTTCAATAAATTTTTGGTGTTTATTTTCTCAGTTTTCCAGGCCTATGGACGACATAAACTCCATTTTTGTCTTGGTCTTTACGTAGTAAGGTTTTTGCGGAAAAGTTTAACGCCTTACGCGGTCAAAAAAAGGCACAAGGATGAAATATGCTGTTATTTCATTTGTTTTAAATGGTGATTTATTTCGATAGGCACGTCGAACTTAACTACGAAGCGTTAATTTTCATTCATTCCTTGCACACCTTCGAACTGACAAACCTAACACACAAATCCGATGATTTTTGTCTGATTATTATTTTCAGTGCCAAATGCCTGTCATCTCTACACACCCTGCCTGCAAGTACAGTCGACACTGAGTATGGTCCGTTGTTGAATTGCCTGTGTGCCTGGGACAGAGTCACTGAGGTACTGCAGCTTATCAACGAGTGGATCACGTCTGGAATGAGTGGAACAGTGAAGGACACAAAAACGGTAATGATTATCACGCTTAGAATACTATCACTTGGTATCACTAACTACGGGTACGGGCAGAGAATTATGAATTAAAAAAGTCAAAAATAAATGTGACTCGGCGCTCCCATTTTCGCATACTATACACGTTTCTATTTCTTCTCTTTGTTTTGATTTTTTTTCTTTTTTTGGCATTGCATTTGATGTGCTTACATACAACATCTCACCAGTAAACGTGGAAGCAATGATTTCAAAACAAGTATTTCAAATCCCGTTGAAGCACGAATTTTTTCAGTTTATCTCCAATTACTGAAATTCCATATTACATTCTCTATAGATATGCAGTTCATATAATTACAGCATATGATTCTTTTCCCTGTCTCGTTTGTTATCGGAATACCACTCTGTTGTGTGGGCAATTCCGCAAACTGTACTTATTTTAAGAACACAACCCAGAACTGTAAGCTCAGTTTTTGACTGACAGATAAACTGTGTCGTGTAACCAAGAGCCTCTTTTCGTGTTTTGCAAGAACCAAAGAAAAAGGTTGAACGTAACTTTTTTTCCCCGCACCTCAGGGACAGAAAACAAGGCAAAGAAAGAAGTCGGTGACTTTTCAACTCCCTTCCAACAACAAACACGTCTTGGCGCTTGATTTTCTTTCTTGGATTATGGTAAGGATGGGTCTGAATCAGTTGGTAATTTCTCTCAACAATACCCAAGCCAGAAGGGCGGCGTGGATTCTTGTGGACTCGCACTATTGATGGAAAATTGGCCTGTGCTTTTAAAATGTTTTATAACATAGATAGGACCCTGCGCGCGCTCTAATTGGTCAAAAACCTGTGTTTTATCAGAGTGTAAAACATAGAAAAGGCGTGTTTTATTGTTTTTCGCCACATTACCTCTATGTCATAAAGCAAATGAAGAAACCTAAGCCGTGTATTACACTGTGATAAGATACTCCCGACATTTGAGAACACTCGAGAAATGTAGAAAGCACTCGCCTATGGCTTGTGTTTTCTACATTTCGCTCATGTTCTCAAATGCCCGTCGTGTTCTACCACAGTGTAACACACGGCTTAGGCTTCCTCATTTGTTAAATAGAGAAGCCTTATTTAGTCACTGAAAAAAAAATTAACATACAATACAATTAAAAACATGAAAATACAATATAACAACTTACAAAAAGAGAAATTACAACAGGTGAAAATAGCTAACTGAAAAGAACTATCTATATTACACATAAATTACGAATTACAGTTATCATAAACACTCACAAGAATCAATAACAAAAAGTGCTCTAAAAACTAAAAAGGTTTCGAATCTTGTTTTTGTCTCTTCCGAGCTTGTCGTTCAAAAATTTAAGAAGACGAAAAACTTACTTCAGATTACCCCATTTTCGTGTTCGTTATTACAAGAGATTTTCCTTATGGCTTCCCAAAAATTAATAATACATCCACTCACTGAATTTGTGATTTGAATTTTTCATTTGACATCATCCTTAGGCTACCTAAACTCTAATGCCTTTTTTGCTCTGTTCTCAATGGATAATTAGATAGCTAATCTTTTTGTTTAAATCCTTTTGCAATTCAGTTGGCCTTGGGTTATTCATTTGATTATTGTTTGTTCTCTGTTCAGGGCGAGCCTACTTGCCGCACAGCAGTGCAAGAATCTTATGAGAAACTGCGACAGATTGCTGATAGTCTGAAACAGATAATGGTAAACTTCTAAAATTTAGACGCTTCTAATATTTTCCTTTTGTTGGAGCTATGTGGAAATCGTGGGTTATAGAAGTGTTTGCACGGTGTTGCTTTTAAACAAGCAAAGTAAAACTTGATTATATTTGTATTTTATGACGAAAGACGGTTTCCCTTTTTCTTACTGACGAAAGAAAGAGCTATTAATTGTTTTCTGATAATTGGCATCATAAGATCCATAATGCCAACTGGCGAGAAGCAGTAGCAGTGTACAATGTACTAAGAAAACTTTTACTTTACTTTACTTTACTTTACTTTACTTTACTTTACTTTACTTTACTTTACTTTACTTTACTTTACTTTACTTTACTTTACTTTACTTTACTTTACTTTACTTTACGGCGCTTTGAAAAGTTGTTCCATGACCTGTGAGAAAGTGTCTTTTTAAGTAGTCATGAAGCAAATAATTTCGATGGTATCTTAATAACCGGATCAGGCGGTCTATTTTTAACAACAGGGGAAAGGAAAAAAAATTAGTGTAGGTTAATGGTGTCTGTCACCTTCCGTGCATATTCTCTTAACTTTTGGCTGCTGGAAGACTACCTTAAAACACACATCGGAGGTTTGAACCATTGCGTCTTTTTTATAAAGCTATGTTCAAGATGACACATACCCGAAAGGTCTTGCACACCCGTAATACAGTCACATGCCTTACGGTCACGCGTTACAAGTTTAGCTGACAACGTCGACTCACATAGATTTACTGCAGTACTATCATTTTACTAGGCAAAAATTGAAGCTCGTCTTACATCAAGTCAGTCAGCGCAGGAGAATCTGTCTCAAAGCGATGAGGAATTTTTCCAGAAGGCTTTCCGTGCTTACTGTTTGTCAGAGATCCATCTGCATCACATGGTTAGTATAGAATTAGTTACTGTCGGTTCCAAAGGGTGAAACGGTCGAAATTGTCCGTAAGTATAGGTGGGTCACAATGTTTATGTACACGCACCTTAGTTTTCTGAAGTAATGCTACATGGAAATGCGCTTGTTCCAAAAACATGTTTTCTTTTTTGCACGGCTACCCACCAAGAAGCAGTTATGCACGAAGAGACTTGTTGTAGAGACATTAGAGCAGGTACATAATGTGCAGGGATTCGTCCTGTGTGGGCATACCGTAAACTTTCGAAAGTAACGACTCCCCGAAAGTAACGTCAAAAAATTGTAAAAATTCTTCAGGGTAGCAGGCACATTAGACGTTGAAACTTCGGTGAGTGGAAAAGCCCAATGTTTGCTTGCTAGAAGTGGAGACAAAAAAGTAAGCTTTTAGGAGTGACCTTCTCCTTAAAGCATTACGAATTTCTGTCTTTTATTTCCTAAAGAACTCAGTCCGACCAACTTCATATAACGTGTTTTGCTCCCCGAAAATAACGAGTCCCCGCAAGTGACGAGCTCCAAAGGCTGCTAATTCCGAAAGTAAAGAGGGTCATTACTTTCCGAAGTTTATGATAAAAGGGCTTGTCGCTGTCACATGTCCCTGCTTGTCTGTGTACACATTGTATTTATGAACCTGCTACACGTCCCTACAACAAGTCCCTTCAGGCGTATTCGCCCTAACTCCGGGCTTACCAAAGCCTTAACTCAATGTGCCCTTTGTCAAAGGTAGCACTTCATATAAAACATTGTTGAATTTTCTCAAATTCCTTTTAGGAAAAGAATGAGGATTATGGAGGTGCTATGGCGGCCATGGAAAATGTTCTGGTGTGGGCAGACAGAGTTTTACTACCCATAATGAATACTGATAGGTAGGTACCTTCAAGGCGTTCGTTTATCTACTGACATGTTCCATTTCAGCGTTTTCCCGTTCCTTGTCTTGGAAAGTAATACGTTGCTGTGTAATCATTGCAACATGTTTGTCCACAACGTTTTTCACCACTTCCCCCCCAAAATATTTCAGTTTACTTAGTCGTTAGTATACCGAAAAAATTTTCTTGACGAAATGGATAGAAATAAAACACATTTTTGAACAGTGTTTCGCAAATTATGATCACTGAAATTGTGTAAAAGTTCAAAAAGAATCCTGAACCTTTGTTACGTTTTAATTAGCTTATTCTTGACGTTCGCAGTTTGTAATTTTCGCCAAAAAAATTGCGTTAAGTGATATTTTCCGTGCAAAAATAAAAGGCATTATATTCCTTTATCAGCGGAGAAAGAAAGAAAAAAGAAGCTGCTATAGATGTGCTCTCTTTGACAATTGTTGTCTTTTCGTTAGTGATCTTCAGAACGTATCACACAAGGCAGCTGAGAGCACCAAACGTGGCTATGAGGATGAACAAATTAGTTGTTTGGTGGTAAACCTTGTCGAGGTAAATTATGCTTAGCTCCTAGATATCTATTTAATTTCATTCTGTCCTTGTCTGTCGACAATACGGATAGGACAAACTCTTTCTGGAAGAGATAAAATAAGTGACAATTGCTTCTATCCGTATAAATCGTCTAGCTATCTCAAATGCCGTACTCTGATTGGCTACGCTACTCACTATCTATTCTGTTGTAGATAGTGAGTAGCCTAGCAGTGTGTGGTTGCTACCAAAGTGACGGTCTCTTCTTTGCGAAGTGCCTGTGAAGAAGATTGAGATAATTCTCTAGTTTAGTTTTAACGACTAGTATAGATTTATATTAACACAATTAGATTATATGTCAATCGAAAACAGTCTGTTGGCGAGGGCTGCGTCCGATTCTGGTGTACATCATATTACAACATAGTGCAAATGCTCGACTTAGCTTGATAATGATGTGTAAAGCCACCGTCAAGAAGGTTTAAGTTGTGATAGCTTTCTGTGACTTTTGCATGCCTTTCGCCGTAAATTTTTCTTCTAATCCTCAGTGCCTTCTCGTGGCATTCTTTGGCTTGAATGTCCTGACCAAGGTTTCGTAGAACGTTTCCCAGGTTGTTATAACTTCCTGCTACTTCGGCATGTTCTTCTCCGTAAATGTTTCTTCTAATCGTCAGGGCCTTCTCGTGATACTCTCTTGCTTGACTGTACTGTTCCATATCACTGTGAACATTGCCCAAGTTGTTATAACTTCTTGCAACCTCGGCATGTTCTTCACCGTAGATCTTCTTTCCAATGATCAGTGCTTTGTCGAAGAATTCTTTGGCTTTAGTGTGTCGTCTTAGGTCACTGTGAACAATGCCCAGATTATTACAACTCCTTACTACGTCGGCATGTTCCTCGCCGTAGATCTTCTTTGTAATCATCAGTGCTTTCATGTAGTGTTCTTTTGCTTCGCTGTAGTCTCCAAGCTTGCGCAAAACATTTCCGAGGTTGATATAGCTTCCTGCAACGGCAGCGTGTTCCTTTCCGAGAATTGATCTAGAAATGGTCTTAGCCTTTTCAAAGAAAGTGAATGATAATTCATACTCGCATTGTAGCGACAGGACACGACCGTGGACTGCACAGATGTCAGCTTTCAACAGCTCTCCATCGCGCGTACTGCTAATGTACTGTACCAGTTCACAGGCTGATGTAGAAAAGAGATCGGCGTCTGATGGGTTGCTGAGGTCACAGCAAACAGCTGCTGTTGAGGAAAGCCACGAGGCAACATTGTCTGCGCTGATGAAGGGTTCTAAATTCTTCACCCAAGTATCCTTTGATGCGAACTTACTGGTGAGAATTTCATGTAGCATTTTGCAATGGCTTGCAACTCTTCGTAACTTTGCACACGCGTTCCCATTTTCAAACAAATGGTTACTCTCTATAAGAGTGAGAAAGCAAAAATTCTTGATCGCTTCAGATATAGACGCTATGAATTCCCCATCAAACGTTGAAACTCTCTGGAGTACTTCGTGAACAATGTTATGCACCCTTATATACGCCGGTTCTTCGTTCTCGCCATGTAAGCAAGTAATCAAGGACGATTTTAAAATCGTAGCCTTGATGAGTTCGTTTGGTTTTCCCGTAGTACGAGCTTTGACGAAGTTAACAGCGACCTCAATTGGAAGAGACTCGGGTGCACATAGCGAAAGAAGGCGAAATATCTGATGGAGAACTTCATCGCTTTTCGAAGCTCTGTCTAATGCCATTCTAATTGCTGTTGTCATCGTACTCGAGTAAGCTGTGTTTTCTTTGGCAAGTGGTTCTTCTGTTCCTTCCCTTTCGCCACTAACAAATGTTTCCAGGTATTTTTCCCAGCTGTAAGTTGGAGAACCATGACTCACAACAGTTTGTACGTAAAACGCAGCAGCTGCTAAGGCAAGCGGCTGATACTCGAGAACCTCAGCAACCTTTTCAGCCTGCTCGTGATTTGAAATTTGCGATACTTGTTTCAGCAACTCTACTGCGTCCTCGGGCTGCATTCCTGCACTGAGTGACTCATGGTAAGTATGAGGAGCATTTGAAGGGATTGCACTGCTGTCTTGAGTTGTTATTAGCACCTGACCGTGACCCCACTCTTCACTGGCGGTTTGAGGCAGATGGCTACGAATTAAGGACAGTTCAACGACGTTGTCTGCTATTATCAACCACTTGGAGAACTGTTTAAACTTTGGGAAAATCAAAAGCTTCAGATGCTGAATCGACTGGCTTGCGCTGTTGGCCTTCAGGGCAGCTAGGTTGGTGAGAGCGTATTCCGTGATTCCCAGCTGTTTCGCCAGGGAAATGTAAGAGTCAGTCAGTGTTTCAAGAGTTTCTGCATTCAGGGTTGTTACAAATGTCAGATCTTCACCTTCACCCGCTCTCATTGCAAAGAAATCTTCTCCAATTTGACGCGCAGTTTGACTTTTGCCACATCCAGGATTTCCTGATAAGTAAATGGTACTGACTGCTCCATTACTTCTATCGTCAAGCTCTTGCATTTTTGTCATAATCCTTGTGACGTCTTTTGAGCGTCTGATGATTTTGTGAGATGGCTTGAAAGTGAGATCACAGAACGACTCAACTCTAGAATTAATCTCTTGAGTAAGGCAATCAACCTGCTTTTCCTTTCTCTGTATCGTGTCTTGTGCCACTTGTAAATCAGATTTGGTTGTCGTCAACTCTGATTGGAGATTGCTAACCTGTACCAACAATTTGGCTACTTCTGCGGTGGGAAAGCTCGTTTGCTTCTCAACCTCCTCTATATCACTTACTGGAAGACTCAAGGCGTTGAAATCAAGCAACACTCTTGCAACATAATTCTGGAACTCAGCGTCCGTAAGTTTGGCTTCAACATTATGAGCAATGTCATTTCGGACTTGACGAAGATCATCGACTTCTCTCCTGATGGCTGCACTTAGGGTTGTACCAATGCTATCTGAGAACAGAATCACGAAAAACAAACAGCTACAGTCCCATTCTGCCGTGTTACCGTTCCGTATAGTCGTCAGATATCGCGCATTCTTCGAACGGCTTTTACGAGATTCGTTGCTACAAAAGTCCCGACCATTCTGTGGCACGTCTTTCCATTCTCCAAAGGTTGTGGTTTTATAACGGAAATCCCATTCTTGTTTGGAGATTTTTCGCAGTCCTTTCGGGAACAGATTAAAGGCGATGTAACAGATTCGAAAAAAGTTTAATTGTTCTGATGTATATTCCATTGTGAAAAGTGCTGTAGTGGAAATCAAAAAATACCGATTAAAAGGTCCATGCCAAGGACAGAATAACTATAATAGATTGAAAATTAAACAGAAATTATGGGATTTTTCGTTGTTATTCACTTCATCGGTGCAGCAATTAACCTATTGCGTGACTTGTTTGAACGCACGCGACGAAATGAACATAAGTCGCGCGAATCACGCAAAGCGGAAAGGCCAAGTCGTTTGGGTAGAATTTCATTCTAACTGGGTCTAGTGACTACAAGTGTACAGTTATTAAAAATATTTTCCCTCAAAGTAAGAGATGAAATTTACTTTTACATATAACACACTATCAAGAAACCCTGAGGTCGCCAAAAGTTTTCTTTCCCAGTCTTAGCTAATGTGTTAGAGATTCGATAAATTCAGTGATGATAACATGTGGTCAATATTTGTGTTGAACTGAGTAGGATGTATCAATAACACGCAATGAAATTCAATTCAGCATCTACTGTGTACGTGAACTCACTGTAAGATAATCGACCCTGGAAAAATGAAGATTTTCGTCCAACGCTTCAAGGGAATCATTCACTCTCATTTTTCCCCCTGTCCTTTCTATACAATCGAAAATAAACGAATCTGTCGACATAACTTCCCCGGTGGTCTACAAAATCCGTTTACCTGATCCTAAGCTCTTAAGATTTCAGTTCATACCGTCGTTAGCTTTGTAGAATCTCGTCCGACTCGTTTCTTTACGACAGTGCCAAAGCGTGACAATATTTAAATGCAAAGCTTTCCTGTAGCAAGGTAAAACTTACCGATTTGGCGAAGTTCCGATCAATTCAAGATCCTTGCGACATCAGACTTTGCTGTCAATTGCAAGATTGCCGATTTGCTGAGTTAAGCATGTTTAAAGTTTCCTGTCTAAATTCAGCTATTGAGATCTCAAGCTGTTGTAAATTCTAAAGGACACAACCAACACCCACGGTATCGCCACTGAATATACTAATGTTTACTGAAGGGCACTCCAGAATCAAATGTGAAAATCATAAGTTCCCCTCGCGGACGATACGTATAGCAAACGAAACGAAAATGAACGTGAACTATGACCCACTCTATTCTAACTTTGGGCGATTTGGTTACATATAAAACAGGCGTGAAGGGATACCCCATATATCAGCTCTGTGATCTCCGAGATAAGTATAGAATCGCTCTGATAATGACCCTAAAATCAGTTGTTTTCTATTTTGAGTAAGGTCGGGTTATTTTAAGTAATAATGCGGTAAAGTTACAAAATAGTGTCTTAGGGGTTATGTCTTGCTATATTTAAATAGAACTTAAAATCTGTTTATGGTTTCTCGTACTTGCATGGGTTTCATGTACTCGCTACTTCGTCCAAGAACTTTGATTTTGCCTTCTGGGAGGTTCTCTTCGTTTATTTTCCCCTGAACTAGCCAAAACCACGCAAACCTAAATATGTCAGTTAAACTTTTTAATAACCATTTTGTCCTTCAAGGGACCGTTCATTTTTTATAAGGTAGGGGGGGCTGGTGGGATTTGGGGGGGGGGCCATGCGAAAAAAAATGGCTTTCGAGGGGGGGCC